TTCATAACGCGATAAATATCTAAAAGGGTCAATTTGCCATATAACAATAATGGAAAAAGAAATAAAGAATATAGCTAAGGAAAAGTGATAGTAAAGTCACTAACCAATTGACGAAAATTTTGCTTGTTTTACCCCGACGTTGACGATTCAGCATTACAAGTAACCGGTGATGTGTCGGTTTCGTTTCCTTTAGGAATGCAAGTAAATAAGCCATAAGTTTTCCGCCTACAAATGTGTATTCACTTACATAACTATAACACAATTAATANTTTAAATTAAATTTTATTCTCTCAACTATTTATGTGNTCAATAAATAAAGNCAAATACGTTANTTTCTGTTTAGTGTGGTCAATAACAACCCACTATGCTATTTAGTGTCGTGTTTAGTTATATGTTTATGCGTAAAGCAGAGAGATTTTTGCTGTTATACTAGGTAGAGGGAGTGTTGACTATTCCATTTGCAAATTGTTGTTGCGTGTACCTGCATACATACCTTNCAAAAAATACATTATTGTGTTGTTATCCTGTGACCCGTACCTTACATTAATTTAGATTAACAAAGCAACCAATGCTGGAAACAAGAAGGAAAGTTTAGAAACAAGATGTAAAAATAGAAACTAGGTCAATTAAAAATAGACTTGCACAACAACAAATAGAACATATGTCCCAACCAGATGCAACACCAGTAGTCAATAACTTGTGAGGGGGTAAACGCGGGGCGGGGGGGGGGGTGTGGAGACATCATATTGTTCTATACTGTTTGGACCTATGTTATTATAGACGACATATAGATAGTATAGAAATTCCACAATCAACATGTGAAAAGAATACACAAACCACAATTTAGATACTAGTCTATCACAATATTTTAAAACCTTACGTACACAAATATTATCCTACATGTAGTTCAAACTCATGTTGCTGCTGCCAAATAGACAATGTGTGAATAGAATAGCCTGCCAATTGGTATATAAACTACGCTTGCCATTTACTGTGATAAACGAATAGTATAGGCATAACAATTGTTCATATAGAATCGATCGCATACACATGTTTCTATATAAGAAGAATGCAAATCTTGTCAAATAATCATAACTCGTATTAACTATGATGACGAGTTGCACAACAAATAGTATAGTTGATGTCAAACCGTTCCACTTTCAAAGTTATGATTCTCCCTTTTCCCTAACCACAAAAATCATGGCCAAATTTTTTCGTCCCTTTCATACCCTACCCACCCGAAGCAAAACATGTCTCACTTATAGAAACTTTACTTAAAATACTTTACCTTGTCTTTGTTCCACCACCCTTGAGTGGTAGATCTGTCAACAAACAAAAATGCTAGGTTCCAGTTTTCCACGGAAGTCGAGATCCAGATCAAAAAACTTAAAATCCGACTCCTTTCTTCCCTTCTCTTCTCTTATAAGAAGAATTCGCATCCGGTTCATAGCCGTCTACCTTTTATTTCGTACACCACCGTCGTTTTCCTTGAACCCCCAAAATTCAGGCTTCTTCGGTTCAACCGCAGCAACCAATTATAACTCGGTTAGAAAACAACACTATCTTCCTCCGCCGTTCACTCTCCGCCGAAGGTGCTTTATCTCTCGATCGGTCTCACGGACTTCCTCGCAACTCCGATCAACCGACTGCTTTAATTTGTCTTCGTCTTCAAGCCTGCACTTTTTTAGAACAAATAAAAAAAATTGAAAACCTGTTTACCTTATTTACAGCATAAGAACGATCAATTCATTAAAGGTGTTTTTGGTAATATTGTACCAATGTTTATTATAGTTACTCAGCTAATAATAATATTTTTGTTGGCTATTGTGCCTAATTCCCCTATCTAAAACATGCTTATAGATTGAACTACGAATGAAAATCAAATTGTTTTTTATATGCCGATTGCGATGAACCGACTGTAAGAGTCGCAAATAATCACCTTCCAAGTTGCTCAAAAATTCAATCCATTAACAAATATACCAATAACGATTTTACAAATTCGACTGTGTTAATCTTAATTGTATAAGTAGAAGAAAATAAAAAAAGGTCTTTTTCCCCAAGATAAATGTGAATCTTTAAAGCAGAACGTTCAGCTGTATAGACCTTCTTCTTCCCAAACTTCAAGTAGAAACTGCACCATTTCCTGTAATGATCATTTCAATAACAAAATCAATGAGAAAATGGATTCAATTAACTAGTAGTACTTAAAAATTTGATCAATGGAACCGAACAGGTATAGGCCGAGGAAACCTCTTATTGCTTCCAAGTAGACTCTCATAAGTCACATTCTCACTGCCAAAAACATCAAACAGTTTAAAAAAATCACACAACAGATTCATTATTAGAAACAGAGAAGACTCTTAAATCCCTCACTTTAGTATCGGTTCTCGAATAAATCTTTCGCGGCTTTCGGATCTTTTACTCCCTACCCATTGCTGCCGAGTTTGATTCCATAGAACAAGACCTGTAACACCCATAATTCTCAATCGCTAAATGGTAGCTTACT